CTGTGGATTTTGTTCCCCATCACTTACTGTACGCTAAAATGGAAAATGGCATCAGGAAGGGTTTTTTTTGTCAATGTTCTCATCAGGAACAACAGCAACCAATAAAAAAATGTTAATCTATTGTGTAAACTGTCTGGTTATTTAATCCAGTAACAATTTCTCACTTGATTTTATAGCAAATGGATCAATATCACAGTATAAAACTCACCTTATTAAAAAAGAAAATCACTACAGGCTTTCATCAAAACGGACGATCTTCCCACATAACACCTTAAAGGTAACACTGCCTTTAATCAGAGATGTGGAGTCACTTTGATGCCTTTAACTTGACTTAAAATAAATGACTTGAGACTCCACTTGGAAGTTAAAGACTTGTGACTTGACTTGACACGATGGGTGACTCGTGTAACGCTCCCTGGTCTCCGCACTCTGGGACTCTACGGATCAGATCATATGGATTCAGGAGTTTTGCCTGTGAAGGAAAAAAAAACGTCCATCAAAGATTTCTGACAACCAGACTACAACATCGAACACTGTCATTTGAACACTCGCTGGGTGTCTGTGAGGGCCGATGTCTGCTAACGTTAGCCAGATATAATCATTAGCCCGAAAGCGAGCGATGTCGCTAATCAACCCAGTTGCCAGAAATAAAGGTTGTCTTTGTAACGTCATGTTTCTGCAGAGCGCGGACACGTCATACTTTTTGAACAGGTCAGATAATAATAATAATAATTACATCATTATTAAACAAGCCAGTGACTCGACTTACGACTTAATGGTTGGCTGGTCTTTAGACCTCACTTGGCTGAAAGGACCAAGATGTAGGACTTAGTGAAGCTGCAGCAGGTTGCACCCAACTGAATACTAGTCACATGACTTGAATATGACGCAGGGAATTGATGGGGTAAAAATATCCCTGTACAGATTCTGCTTAAATATTTTAATAGGGAGAAACATCCATCCAACCCTGTGAAGGATTGATATTTCAAAGTCCATATTTTTAGTAACATTTAAAGAACTGGCCTAATTAAATTGCACTTTTAAGTAGAAGGTGCCGGAGCGAAGAGGGATAAATGAGCTCTTACGGTTCAGACTCTCCAAATAACACTTACCTTAAATGTCAAGGAGAAGTAGGGAAGTTAAAGCTCCCCTCCCTCCCTCCCTCTCTCCTCGCCTCTCTCTCTCGCTACTCTCTCTCGCTGTGATCTTCTGGGAGGTGGCGCGGTGTCCTTAGCGGGTGGGGAAAGAGAGTATATGAAGTCTGTGTGTGTGTGTGTGTGTGGCTGAGGGGAGAGACGCAGCGGCCGCCGGTGTGTACTCAACTTGTGAGGGACGAAGATAGAGGCACAAACCCAACGGAAGGGAGAAGCTTACCCGATCAGCTAAAGCCGTCCGCTGTTCGCGTTCGCCTCCACTCGGAGACAACCCACGAGCGGCTACTGTGTTTTGCGACGTTGCCCAGAAAAGCGGTTGTTAGAAGATTTTGGTTTGTGGTGTTTCGGTCTTCGTTGTTTTTTGCAGGCCACAAATTGCGTCGGTCCGTTACAAGGGAGTAAACAGATTAAATTTAGCATTTTTCGCATCCACATTCGGCAGAGCTCCTGGCGGCGGCCGCCAACAGTGAACGGGCCGACCCGTATTGCGGATGCCTCCCGCCGCCTGAGTCCCATGCGGGGGCTGTCGCGTCACCTCACGGCACCTGTCGCTCGTCGCCGCAGTGAGGGAGACTGTGGCACAGTGTGGCCCTTAGTGACCACAAAGTTTTCATTCGCGATTCGGTGTCAGAGGGCCCAGCCTTCGTGCATGCCAGTGCATCCGATGTTGTTCGAGGTCTCTCCGTGAGCTGAGTGCCGTCCGATGACGTGCGCGAGGGATGCAGCGTGGGCATGGTGTGTGTGTGGTGTGTGTGTGGTTCTTTCGTTGCAGTTGATGTTCTTTGCAGTTTTATTTGGTGGCTCGTTTTGGAATTAGGCCAGTTGTAATCTGAAGATGGTTTTTAGGAAATTATTTTTAGAGACATCATGTGGGTGCGACCAAAGCAAGGGGGCAAACAAGCGTTAATGATTTTGCATGACAGTTCAAATAAAGGAGAGACAGTAAAAGAGGAAGGGCAGAGAGTGATGGTCCTATATGATGTGGAAAGACAAAGATGGCTGTAGTTTGTTTGATGGTTCTTGGATTACATTCTATAGAATAATTTATACAGGCATGGATAAAGAAGAGAGTGGGAAGCGCTTTTCATCAAGTTTCCTCTAAATTAATAAACATTCGATTTCATCGTTGGGTTTGTTACTTGTTGCATGATTACTGTCGTCAACCGGTTGTCTATGGGCAGAAGGGAAGACGGAGAGACGTTATGTGGTCTGCGCACAGTAAAAGAATGAAATGGCTGCACAGCACCAG